AAATTTTATATTTTTATCCCTTATACAATACGTCACACCTTATACGATACAATACAAGCTACCAAACATGTCCTAATAAAAAATGGATCTCATAATATGAGGCTCACAAATAAGGTCCATCTTCTATAATTGTGGCGTCCCTATACATGAAATTTCATGTTGAACTAATAATATGGTATTCACTTTCTATCTGCCTCCAAGGCACATTGTTATTCAAGAATACCGGACACATCACTTCCCTTGTCGTGCCTTTGCAAAGTGTTGTCCATATATATATATATATATATATGTATATATATAGATATATAGTCCTATACAGTAGAGGACCGTATAAGATATGTACAAAAAAGTTCTTTTCTTAAGATTCTTTTTTTTTTTTCCTTTGACAAAAACAAGTTAATACTAGAAAAGTATGTATCGTATGCTGTTTGTTTGTGTCTATGTCTAACTTGGTCATACAATGCACTCATACATAAATGTTTTCCAACAGAATACTCTTCCTAATAGGTTTAGAATATAATCCAAGATCAACTCATTCCTATTTGATTAATCCTCATATGAGACAAGTTTTCCCTTTCTTTGACTAATTCCTTAAGACTCTATCAAGTATATTTCCTCACCCCAGAACCAATCTCTAATAGCGCCCCTTAATAATGTTCACCTCTACTTCTGTAAAGGTAGCATCAATGGAACATTTAGAACTACTTTATTTAGTTAAACAACTATCTTAATTCTTACATGGATTTATGACAAGTAACAGCTAAATGTTGAATCCTACTACTTCACAAATTCTATTACAAGCTTAGAAGTTACCTTCTGCAATTATTATAGAATGTTTCATTTTTTCCATTTGGAAGAAGATTGGTGCACAAGTAATTTTCAAACAGAGTCGAATAAGTGGGAACATAACAAGGAAAAACAAACAGTATGTCTCATGACAAACAAAAAGAATCATTTTATTTTATGTGTAACGACTCAAGGCATGAGCAACGCTATTATCGATCCTTTTGACCTAACTAAAAGAGAATGATTGAAAATCTCGGACACTAATGCCACACAGCTCTTACTGAAATCCACTTCTCAATAAGAACTTCCTTTCAACAACGCTTCCACAACCACCTTGGCATCGCCCTCAAAAACCGGCCTAAACACCGCTAATTAGCCATAACTTCTACCGCTAACAAAGGCGCCATAACCTCTCCCAACTTGCTTCTTCAGGAGATGGCTCACTAGTTCGGTATTTTAGGACTGAAGGGATTAAAAAGCTCATTAAGGAAAGGGAGATTGGGACAGATCATTCATACTCCATTGTACACATTTAACACATATATATATGGACTGCTTTATATATAACTTATATTACTCCATTAATCTAAAATATTGGATATGAAGAGTTAATTTAATTTCTTCAAATTTGTACTCCACCGTAGCTCCCACCAAAGTCGTCTTCTTCAGTTGGCCACTTCTCATAAGAAACATTTCAGTGTGAATTTTCCTATTCATTGAAATTATTGATCACCAGATAATCACGCAAGTCTTTGTCAAAATATTCTCCAAAGTAGAAGCCACACATAACGTGAACTGGAAATGAGACAAGCGTAAAGTTGCTAACATATATAGACAGTACATATATAACGTTTATAACACAGGTTTCATGTCGTAATTAACTAACAGGATTACATCAGGTTTTCAAATCGAAATTTCAATCCACGTCTCTGTTCATGTGTGATACCCGCTCAACATTGATATGATTGAATCATGGTTGGATCCAGGACTATTTCGTTTTGTTAGTTCGAATTATAACTGAAATTTTTATTACAGTATTTTTTCTAACAAAAATTCAAATTTAACTTTTTATGTTACAGTGTTTTCTCTTATATACTTTATTTTTTTAACTCAAATTCTCAACTCGAACGAGCAAAATGAACGGCTCCATGTTAATTACTTGTCCTGAATAACATAGAGTTATGTAAATATATATATATATATATATTTTCTAAATATATATATATTTTCTAATTGCTGAACATATGTATATATTCACTAATTGAATGATGTACGTGAATTTCTTACAAGTACCTATAATCTGGAAGATAATAAATCAGATATAGAAATCACAAGCGTACCTGGTATGGTTAGGATAATCTCAGCTTAACAGGAAAAATAAATGTTTTTTTTTTTTCACAAAATTATTTAATGCATACATGGACGGAAAGTTGGAGCTTTATATAGCAAGACTCTGTTCGTTACTAACCCCTTTCTTTTTTAAAGAAAAAATAAATGTCACTATATGTAGAGTCTATTACAATTTGATTGATCTTATCGTTGTATTATCTAACCATTTCAGCCTAGCGAGACGAAAACCTGACCGCATATATAAATGGAAAAACAAATTATGAAAAACCGGCAGATAAGAATCTTTGCAAATAGAAAGTGACATTATATGATTTTAATTGAGGCTTGAGCCTAAATTTAGTAGGGGTTTACTGGAATTTCACATATATATTTTGGTTGTCCAAATTTTACTTATAGTATGAGGCAGAGATTTTGAACTAACTTTTAAATTAAAAATGAACAACTATAAATCATGCGTTTTTAATTATTTATATATATATATATAATTATTGTCTATAATAAAGAATTAGAGCTGTTAATCCGTAATATCGGCTACTGTGTTTAGGAAACAATTTGGCCACAAAAATTGTAGGAAAAAAAGATTGTTACTTAATGTTAATTAATTCTTCCCTATATATTAATGACAAAACTATTACTTTAAGCAAAATTTAGATGCGTCAAGTAGTAGATGTAGGTAAATATCTATCCTATTTCCATAATCCAAAATCTCATTGAAATAATTAATACCATGTTTTTAAGAATTGCGAAGTGGACAAACAACAGTGGTGGAGTAGACGTATCAACCAATTGATTGAGACTCATAAGCTCAGACCACAGCCTGTTGGCTGTTGCTATTAATAATATTCATGTCCACTTTTTAAAAAATATATATATATATAATGAAATTTATGTCTCCTTAGCATTGTGGCAACATATCCCGGGAAAGGAGAAAAAGTGAAGGACTTCCTGAATTTGTTCGCCATGATTGGTTGTCCTGTGTTTTCTGTTTATTTATTTATATTTTTCCTTTTTTAAAAAGTCCTTTTTTATGCTTTAGGAAGCAAATTAAGAGAGTTTTCCCAGGAAAACGTAATGGAATTATGGAAATCGACCCTGTGCAACGTGAATAACGGGTTATGGGATTTTTTTTCCCGAAAATGCACAAGCTTTGTTATTTGTGGCTATGAGGATTCATAATAATGAGAGTGACAGAACAATGACAAATATAAACAAGACATCAAAGTTTGGCGCCACAATCCATTAAGGTAGAGACTAGAGAGGAACATGAGCTGCAGATACAGACAAGCCGTCCATTAATGGAGAGTTGCATGACTTCCCACCTTGTTTAAAAACTACTTGGTTTGCTTGCCGGAAAGAGATTTCACAGCTGCTCTAATTGAGTGGTCAAATTATAATAATAGTGAAACTATAACAATTTCACATGGCATTCATAGAGTTAAGTTGAAGGTTACGAAATTTCACACACTGTATCACTCAGGTGACCATTGTTTTAAACTAAGTTTGATGCTTTGATTCGATTTATTTGGGAAGAACTACATTTTACCGATTAAAGATTATAATTGCTCATTGAAATTAAAAAGTTGCTAGATGTAAGAGCTGAGATGCAATCATTATCCATTTCTTTGTCACTTGTGTTTGGAGAATTGACTTTTAAGTGCTTTAGATTGTGTGGCCATGAAATTGTGAAGTTATTTGAGAAGTTTTATATGTATATATATATATATATATATAGGAAATTGGGTAATGAGATAGCAAATGAGGATAATGTGCTTTATAAAATGAAAAAGTGTATAAAATTAATAGAAGTTGATACATACCCTAATTTATCACAAAGATGATCAAAGCAAAAAGAAAAGAAACTCGAGTGCGTATTTTCACAATGCGACTTGACTTCTTGCATAAACTATGTGATGGGCCTAGTGTTGCCCATTAGGAAGTAAGCAGGCACGTTGTTTAAAAGCTTCCTAGTGGCCCTATGCCTGGCGACGTTTTCATGTGCGTTTTTGTTATCCGGTCTCCACAGCCTGCTGCGCTCTCACCACTCATACTTGTCCTAAGAAAGTCCACCAACTCTCTTTTTATTTTCTCACTAATGGTAGTAGAGTTTCTAAATCACATGCGGGATAATGTTTACTGAAGTATGGTCCAGTATCAACCTATTGCATCTAGAACAATGCCAGGGCACTAGGCACAAAAACACTAATAAAAGCACGTCGCAACTACGTCAAGGTTAAATAGAATTTGCATTAAGGTTCGGAATCTTTATGGTTAATTTTATACTCCAAATGAATAATCTAACCACCAGAGTTGATTCTGAAGCAGAAAAGAATTAACAAGCTAAGATACAATTTCCAAATTCCAAGTAACAAGTAACTTCCAACACATTCTGAAGTTTAACCAGACCAGGCGCATCTCAAATTGCACTCGATTAAAAAATCTTAAACATGATCCCCTTCATAATAATATAAAAACATAGGATTTATTATTATTATTATTATTATTATTATTTTGGTGTTTAGAGGAAGGCAAATATGGTATTTCCAAAGAAGTTGAACAATCTCAAATCCAATTATGAACTAAAGTCCTGTTTATTTATCGATTTAAGTTTAGAATTTAAGTTTTGTTATAATAAAAAATTCTCAAAAATAATTATATCTAATTTTTTTATTACAATAAAAAATTCTCATATAAAATCATATCTAAACTCGAATTAAAAACTCAAATCAATCAACTAAATAGGCCATAAAGTTCCGAGGCCTATTTATCAAGAGAGTTGGACCAAACTAATGACGGAGAAAGGGGCAAGCACAAGACACCATCCCCATCAAGCTTGAGAATTGAATTACCAATCAAGAAACTGTGGCAATTGGATCATAGCTTCATAGCCGTAGAGATTGTAATACATGATATCATCGCATTTTATATCATCAGTTGTGGAATTTCTCGAAAAATCAGCAACATAATAAACTTCGAACAACCCTCAAATACCCATTATTCGTAGAGTATAAACACCTTAAGCTTGAGCTTCACTAACGTCCATTCCTTACTGTCCTCTTTTCAAGTACATAATTTGAGAAAAAAAAAAAGTAAACAAAGTTAGCTTATGCCTGATGTTAGCATTCATCTCCAAAAAAGCAGCAACATTTCAGTGGGTGGGTAAAAAACGAAAAAGAAAAAGGAAAAGAAAAAAAAAAGAAAATCTACAAAACTAATCAGTTCAGACCCATAAAATTAAAAAAGAAAATTACAAAAAAAAAAAAAAAAAGAGAGGAAGAAGAAGGAGCAAAGAAAAGAGCTTTTTCTTTTTTTTTTTATTTAAATTCTTTTCTTTTCTTAAATTTTTTCAATCGGACGGTTCAAATTGGCGACCAAGAACAACAAGGGCACCTGATCAGACCGTTCTCATTGCAGGCGGTGCAACACTTGAACCCGGCCTTCTCGGAGTAAAGCTTGTGGCTGCCATTGCATTCGTTGCAGAGGACGAAGCTGTACCCACCGCAGGAGTCGCAGACGCCGGGTTCCGCTGCGGGCAGGCCCTCGACGAACTTCTTGAGCTCGCCGGCCTCGTGGAGCTGCCGGACCTCCTCGGCCCCACCAACGTACCTCCCGCCGATGAAAACCCTGGGCAGAGTCAGCTTCCTTCGTCCGAGAATCTGCTGCAGCTCCGCCAGGAAGCTCGAGTCCATCGACAAATCCCGCTCGTCGATCGGGACGCGGAAACTTCTCAGGATCGATCGGACGGCCCGGCAGTCCTCGAACGTGGAGCGGACCACGCGGAGGCTGGTGAAGTAGAGGACCACGCGCTTCTCGGCGCCGGGGATGCAGATCGACTGCGGCGGCGGCGGAGGCGGAGGCTCTTCGAGGAGGGGCGGGGAGCGAGTCGACCAGGCACGGAGGGTCGAGTTGGAAACTCGGACACGGTGGAAGACGGCTAGGGATTTCTTGGCGGAGGCGGAGGCGGAGGCGCAGGCGGCGAGGTTGGGGGAGGAGGAATCGTCTGCGCAGAGGCTCACGACGTCTTTGAATGAGGAGCAGGAGAATAAAGGCGGGGACGCTGACGTGTCGTGGATACGAGTCGGGGTTTTGCCCCACGGCCGCCACATTTGCCGTGTCGGGATGATTGGGATTCGGATCCGGATTTAACGGAAACACGAAATGAAAATATATTAAAATCCAAACGAAATTCTTTTTGATAATTCAAAGGGAAAATAAAAGGTGGGGTTTTTTATTTCTAATAGTATTTTGGTTTTGTTTATTGGTTGCTTGAAGGAGAGTTGTTCGGTGATGGAGGAAAGGGAAGAGGAGGAAGGAAAGAAAAAAAGCGGGTAACTTTTGCAGAATTTTGGGGGGTGGAGGCTCAAAGTCGGGCTTTTTTTCTCTTTAAACTTTCACAGGAGAGAGAATGGGATTTGGAGGTGGGGGAATGGGAAAAGGGTAGTAGGGCTTTGGGGAAGGGAGGGGTAAGGCGGTTGGTTAAGGTAGTTGAAAGAGGTGTGTTTGTTTACTTTGTTTTGCTTTAATAGGGGGTTTAAACTGTTTAAGATAGCAAGGGCCTAAAGGACATACGTATGAGAATTTTATTAAATTTTTATTTATTTTTATTTTTTTATGTATGAGGTAATGTCCACTCACTGGACATGAAAAGCGTAGACATTTGTTTTTTTTTTTTTTTTAAGGGCTTTTCTACCCTTTTTTTCCCCTAAAACAAGGGCTTTTGTCACTAACGTTAGATTTAATTAAAATAATATTAAATTAAAAAAGGTTTACCAAACGGGAAATTTTTTATTAAAATTTAACAGTTAAAAAAGATAACTATCAATAATTTATTTTTTTAAGACCTACATAGAAGTCTTCAAAGATTTATACAAATTTTTAAACACTATAAAGTGTTTGTCTTCATTTATCATTGTTCAGTTACATATTTAGAATGTCTATGGTGTTTTCTCTTTTTAAAAAAAGTATTGGTGTTTCATGTTTATCAGTCGTTGGATATGTATTATTTTTTTAATTTGATTTAATTTTGACCAGATTTAATACAGATCTGACAGTTAATAAACATAAAACACTGATATTTCTAAAAAAAAAAAGGAAACACCAGAGAGAATCCCTCAACTTAAATGGATAAAGTTACGAGAGAATAGCATTGGACAAAAAATTGAGTTACAAGAGAGAAATTTTTTATTTTCTCTTTTTTATTTGTGACTTTCTCCAGTAGAGCCTCTCTATTGGTAAGTTAATTTCGTTATATCTAATTAAAATCACGTTAAATTAAAAAAAAATATGCAGAACAAATAGTTTCTTATACAGATTTGACAGTTGAAAATAAGAAATTACCGGTAGTTCATTATTTCTAATCCTACCAAAGAAACTACATCTTATTTTTTGAAAATTTTTTTAAGGTGACATCTTAGAGCTTTCTACGATAAAGTATTATTACCGATCTATATGTTTTCTAAATGTTAAATTTAATTAAAATTACATCAAAATCAAAATAAAAAGCATGTAAAATTGAGAAAATCTTGACAAAAAATATGACGGTTTAGAAGAGTATCGGACTAAAAGGTATTTTTAATACTCTTAACAAAAAATTCTCATTTTATGTTACCATGTTCTTTTTAGTATTGTGTATTTTTAGATGTGTTGAGGTCAGATTTCATAGCTTCATCTATATATATATATATATATATATATCAACTCGGATAAGGTTTGAGCAACGAAATAGACCAACTAAGGCTCGTGGATTAACCTATCATTGTCCTCTAAATAAGCCATCGGCAATAATCGACTAAAAGTCATCGCAGTGACTAGAATCTACTCTAGATGACCAGTTAAACGAAACATTCTAACAAGGTAACCTCTGAACCTCTTTCGCCAAGAATATAGGATCATAACTCATTCAAAAGGGCATTATTTTGATCTTTATTACCACAATGTGTGTGACTCTCATACTGAGAGTGAATTGCCGTAGATTCTCATGTTCTCGTTTCTCTATTTGCTTTATAGATATTGTTACACCATGGTCGAGAGGTCGACCACTCTCTCGAGCGACAGACGCCGAGGACTCCCCACAGAGGATCGGTCGTTGGCGTCGAGGGAACGGCCGAGGCTAATGTGCCTTCTACGTCAAGGGCCATATGTGGGAAGAAGCGCTAGACGAGGTGACTCAGCCTTCGGAGGCCGCGACGCCGAGGGGACACTGTCGGTCTTCTCTACTGGGTGGTCTTGTCAACTCGAAGAGGGAAATATTAATCCGACTGCTACTGCAGGAGTCAGGAAATCAGGCGGTAGACAGGAAGGATCAGCCGCATTTCCCGGAGCAGTCATCATGAAAACTCACCTACCCTCACGCGGATCGAGGACAGAAGATGGCTTCCTCCTTGGGAACGGAGAAAAAGTATCCACATGTAAAGGCCTATAAATAGAGCCAAGAAAACTGAGAGGAGGGTTAGACACCATTTCATTGCAAAAGAAAGAGAGCTTGTAACCGGTTGAAAGATTAGTGCATGCACAAGTGGATTAGGCAAAGGATTATTGCCGAACCACTATAAAACTTGTTGTCTCTTTTGCATTACTTTTCAGTCTTAATCCTTAATCAAATCGTGAGTGTCAACGTGAGTGTTTTCGGAGAGGTAATCACGAGTTGCCGGAAATACACCGTTAACAATTGGCGCTAGAAAGAAGGCCCCTTAAGCCCAGAAATTCAATATAGTTCTTAACCAACTATGCCTCCCAGGAACACCCGCTTACTGGCGGCTAACCCAATGAGTCAGGCGACCCAAAATCTCACCGCCGCTGGGACCTCAACAAATCCGCTCCCACTGGCTGCCGGAAGCCCCCAAGACCGCATCGACCAACTCCAAAAGCAGGTCGAAACGTTGGCTGCAGCCGTGGAAAGGATGGCTACGGCCCTTGCAGGGTGGGATCAAGGGCAGAACCCAATGCCACCGCTTGAGGATGCACCGATGAACCCGGTGAATGCCGCTGTTGGGGGCCAAGGGATTGGTGACCAACATGGTGATGCCGAGGAAGTCGGTGATAGTCGAGCCAACGATCCCTATCCGACCAAGTCGAATAGGTCTGTGGGGAGCAGACAACGGGCAGCACGGAAGAGAGCGCGGGAGAAGGCCGCGGCGCCAGTTATGAATAATAGGGATGCGCTCCCTCGACCGCAGCAGGATGCGAATAGGAGGAACGCTGTCCCCGTAGAGTCTTCGTCTGCGCACGGTGGAGACCTTAGGACGAGGCTCGACGCCTGACGCGGGAAAGCCGTGCAGCTGGAGAGAGAGGAATAGCTCGCAGCCGATAATAAGGCTCTGGCCGAGAAGATGGCTAGGCTGGAAAAGCAGATTGGAAGTCGATTAAACAACTTCGAGCAAGTTGTGGGGAAGGTAGCCGAGGCGGTTAATGCCGACGCTAAGATGTACACGTCGCACGACCACCCGTTCACAGAAAGCATTATCCGGGTGCCACTCCCAGACAAGTACAAATCGCCTCCCATTCCGTTATATGACGGAAGGAGTGATCCGGATGACCACTTAGAGGTGTACACAGGACATATGGTCCTGCATGGATACCCCGAGGAGGTCATGTGCCGAGCATTCAGGAATCACCTTTCCGATTCTGTGAGGAGGTGGTTCAGATCTCTGAAACCAAACTCCATCACCAGTTGGGATGACTTGAAGAATGCCTTTCTGACTCAGTTTATAGGTGTCAAAAAATACATCCCACCCAAACAAAACCTCTCAAGAGAGTACCAGGGACCCAACGAGTCCCTGAAGGACTGGATAGCCCGGTTTGGGGAGCAGGTCACCGCCACTGAGGGAATCTCCAATGAGGTGGCCTTGATGGGGGCGCTCTCGGGTATGAAGAAGGACATCCCCTACAGCACGGACCTCGACCGGAGGCCGCCCCATACCTACCAGGAATTCCTGACAAGGGCACAGGGGTTCATCAACGCCAAGGGGGCAAAGAAGGCCCTGAAGAGCAAGGTGACAGCCCCTGCCAAGGAAGAGGTAGGGCAGGCAAGCGGCCAAAACAACGGTAAGAAGCGCCGAGGTCCCCCTCAAGTGCAAGCCGAGCAGAGGTATAACCCGGCTCCGAGTAATAGAGGCGGCAACGCCTCGGCGAGTCAGGGGGAGAACAAGCGGCCGAAGCCGCAACGGTACGACGCCTACACACCCTTAATTATGGGGATCGAAGACGTCTACCATGAGATAAGTCATCTCCAGGTCTTGCGTCGACCGCAGCCGCTGAAGTCTGACCCAGCAAGGAGAAACCAAAACAAATAGTGTCAGTTTCATGGCGAAAATGGGCACACTACGGCCGAATGCTACGACCTAAGGGATGAGGTCGAGAAGTTGATCCGAGAGGGAAGGCTTAACGATTACCGAGCCGACCGTCGGAACAACAACAGACACAACAACAACCGACGGGAAGAGCAGAGGCATGACAACCCGCCCGAACCAGTCGGTGTTATAAGAACGATCTTCGGGGGACCATACCTCAGCGGCACCTCTCGACGCGCACAGAAGGAGTACGCTCGAGAGGCAAAAGAGAAGTTTAGCCAGAGGATTATGAACGTCTCCGGACGCGAGGCTAAGGCAGCGCGACACGAGGACGCCGAGATCACCTTCTTGGAGGCCGACGCGAGGGGGGTACATTTTCCCCAGAGTGATGCCTTGGTCGCCAAGGCCATGATCGGTAACCACTCGGTTTGCCGTATCCTGGCGACTGTGGTAGTTCCGTGGACATCCTGTACTCGGACTGCCTAGACAAGATAGGAATCCCATGCGCAAGGCTGCAAAACAGTGCGCAGTCCCTGTACGATTTCACAAGGGACAACGTCATCCCGGAAGGGGTGATCGTGCTGCCTATGACCATTAGAGACCGACCACGCACCTCGAATGTCATGTCAAAGTTCCTGGTGGTGAAGGGTGGCGACCAATACAACGCGGTCATAAGGGGCCCGACGTTGAGGGCCTTGAGGACAGTGACATCCATCTACCACCAGATGATGAAGTTTCTGACCCCCAATGGGATCGGCAAGGTCCGAGGAAACCAGTACGAGTCGAGGCTTACATACTCAGAAACGGTCTGCCACTATGCCGAGCCGACACAACTACGGAGGGAACTGAGAATGGTCAAGACCAAGGCAGAAGAATACGATTTGGATCCAAGGTTCCCAGGAGAAGAGACTGGCACGGGACCGGTCGAGGAGTTGATCGAGGTCCCCATTGATGAAAGAGAGCCGATCAGAACGCTAAGGGTGGGCTATGAATTGGGAACACAGGCCCGCGAGAAACTGGTCGAGTTTCTCAGAGGAAGCCTCGACGTATTCGCCTGGACCCATAAAGACATGGAAGGGATAAGCCCTGACATCATGTGTCATAGGCTGAATATTGACAAGAAATGCCCGCCCAAGAGACAGAAACATCGACCCATGAACGTCGAGCGGTACGAGGCCTTACGGGAAGAGATCGACAAGCTGATCAGAAACAACTTCATCCGAGAAGTCTTATACCCCAGGTGGGTTTCAATTCCCGTACTGGTAAGGAAGCCAAACGGCGAGTGGCGAACATGCGTCGACTTCAGCGACCCGAATAAAGCATGTCCCAAGGACTACTTCCCCCTGCCCCGAATCGATCAGCTGGTTGACGCTACGGCGGGACACGAACAACTGAGCTTCATGGACGCATACTCTGGGTACAACCAGATACCAATGTTCGACCGCGACGAAGAACACACGGCGTTTGTCACCGACAGAGGTCTCTACTATTACAAAGTGATGCCCTTCGGTCTCAAAAACCTAGGGCAACTTATCAACGCCTCGTCAACAAGATGTTCGCGGGACAAATAGGAAAGTCAATGGAGGTTTACGTCGACGACATGCTGGTGAAGAGCAGGAAGACCGAGGACCATGTGGAGGACCTTAAGAGAATGTTCAATGTCCTCAGAATGTACAAAATGAAGCTAAACCCCCGCAAGTGTGCCTTCGGCATCGCTTCAGAGAAATTCTTGGGTTTCATGGTGAGTAGTTGAGGAATCGAGGCCAATCCGGAGAAGATTTAGGCCCTCCTCGACATGGGATCGCCAAGGAAGCCCAAGGAGGTCCAGAAGCTGATAGGCTGTGTAGCCGCACTTAATAGGTTTATCTCTAAATCTACGGACAAGTGCGTACCGTTCTTTGATACCCTGAGAGGAAGCAAGCCATTCCTATGGACGGAAGAGTGCGAACAGGCATTCCACCGAATGAAGGAACACCTCAGGAAACCCCCTCTGCTGTCCAAACTGGTGACCGGGGAGGTGTTGAGCCTTTACCTGGCAGTCTCGGAACACGCCGTTAGTTCGATGGTGATCTGCGAGGGGAAGAAGGTGCAGTTGCCGGTGTATTACACTAGCAAGCGCCTCCTCGACGCGGAGACGAGGTATCCCCAGATGGAAAAGCTCGCCCTCGCACTAGTTGTGACAGCAAGGAAGTTGCGGCACTACTTCCAGGCCCATAGCATTCAGGTCTTGACCAACCACCCACTCAGGCAAGTGCTACAGAAGCCTGACACCTCCGGTCGACTCTTGAAATGGTTCATAGAGCTCAGCCAGTTCGACATCGACTACAAGCCGCGGACTGCCATTAAGGGCTAAGCCCTGGCAGACTTTGTGGCAGAGTTCACGGGGCTACCAGACGAGGTCGACGAAGCCGACAAACCGCCACGATGGAAGCTCTACGTCGACGGGAGCTCCAATGACAATGGTAGTGGGGCAGGACTGGTATTACACACACCTGAGGGACACAAGATCACCTCAGCCATCAGGTTTGAATTCCCTGCATCCAATAACGAAGCCGAGTATGAGGCGCTGCTGGCTAGACTCCGGTTGGCGGAGCATCTAAAAGCGGGGAACTTAGACATCTTCAGCGCTTCACAGCTTATTGTGAATCAAGTGAAGGGCCAGTACCAAACCCAGGATGACAAAATGGCCACGTATCTAAAGAAGGTCAGGGAAGCCCTGGGGAAGCTCACGGCCTATGATATACAGCAAGTACCAAGAGCAGAGAATAGGAACGCCGATGCCCTCGCCAAGTTGGCGACGTCGAGAGATGCTGGGCTCTTGAACATGGTTCCCGTGGAGGTCTTGAAAGCCCAGACCACGGCAAAGAGGCCCGAGGTCACGCCGGTGGATTACCAGCCAAGCTGGATGGACCCAATCATCAGGTACTTGGTCGACGGTGAACTCCCTGAGGACAAGCAGCAGGCAAAAAAGATGAAGTATCAGGCAGCGAGATACATAATGTACAACAACCTCCTCTATCGAAGGGGCTACTCGACGCCCATGCTCCGGTGCCTCGGCGCAGAGAGGCAAAGAGAGTGTTGTCTGAGGTGCACGACGGGATATGTGGGAACCATGCGGGGGGACAGTCCCTAGCCTACAAAATACTTCGACAGGGGTATTACTGGTCAAGTCTCAAGAAAGACGCAGCCGAGTATGCGAAAAGGTGTGAGAGTTGCCAAAGGTACGCCCCCATCCCTCGACTGCACTCAGAGGACCTAACATCTATAGTGTCTCCCTGGCCCTTCGCTAAATGGGGAATTGACCTTATCGGCCCCCTGCACAAAACCCCGGGGGGTCGCTATTGTCGCAGTCGACTACTTCACAAAGTGGGTAGAAGCCGAGCCATTAACTACCATCTCAGAGGAAAAGTGTACGAACTTCATATGGAACAACATAGTTTGCAGGTTTGGTGTGCCGCATTCTCTCGTATCCGACAATGGGAAACAGTTCAACAACGACAACACCAGCCAGTTTTGCAAGCTACTAGGGATCCACAAGAATTTCTCCTCCGTCGTATACCCCCAGTCCAATGGGCAGGTCGAGGCGGTCAATAAGATAATCAAAGTCACACTCAAATGACGCCTCGACGCCTACAAAGGCAAATGGGCTGACAAGTTACCAAAAGTGTTGTGGGCCTACAGAATAACGAGTAGAACTACTACGGGGGAAACCCCATTCTCGATGGCATACGGGGTCGAGGCAGTCCTTCCAGTTGAGGTGTCTGTTCTGACCAACTGGGTAACCTGGTACGAGGAGGATAGGAACGCTGAGCTGATGGGCTTGCAGCTCGACCTCCTGGAAGAACAGCGCATAGATGCACAACTAAGGCTCGCCGCCTACCAGGCAAGAACTGTCAGGTATTATAACAAGAAGGTCAAGCAAAAGCGCTTCGGGGTCGGGGACCTAGTTTTATGGGTGGTAACCCCCAACACCAAACCCAAGAACTCCAGAGCCCTTGGCCTGACGTGGGAAGGGCCCTACAGAATAAGAGAGGTCGTGGCCAATGGGTCGTACCGACTGGCAGAGCTCGATGGTTGAGACATCAAACACACTTGGAATGCGGACCAATTGAAGGTCTACTACCAGTAATCACGAGAAACGTCGACCTAACAGAGCAAACTTATTGTTTTTAATTAAGTTCTGTTTCATTTCTCATTTCTGACAGGCCAAAAAGCCAACTTGTAAATTCTACATGAATAAAAGGCAATGGGCATTATGCGCTTAATCAACAAATTCTGCCTTACGACCGATTCTTATTATGTGGGTACAACCATCTACTGCGCCTGTCAATACGTCGACCATATCAATTCGTCGATACGTCAACTAAAATCATCAATACGTCGACGACGATGCGCCAAAAATAAGTCCAAGGCTTTGTTTTTGGTGAGGGGACAATAACGCCCCCACGAACTTGCAAGGGCGGTGGGGCTCTGGCTCAACCATACCCAAGCAACAAGCAGATTTCCTACGCTCAATATTCTACCATCTACGTCGAAGCTTTAACAATGGTACGCCAAAGCCGAGTTCTAAAACTCAGCTTGGGCGAGGGGGTGCTAAGGCCCGACATGAGGCCCCCCACAAAAAAAAAGAACTATCGACTCACAATAAGTGGTCGAGCCTACACTTGGCGAAAAGAATCTACACGTGCGCAACATCCACACAAACAGTGAGCAAAGGTAAACATGAAGATATATAGAGAAATAAAATAAAAAAACTTGTCTCGACCTTATGGTCGTTACAGATCGTCGAATAAATATTATCTGGGCCTCACGGCCCGGTAAAAAAAAAAAGAAGTGTTACAAAAACAATGAAAGCTCCCGAGAGAAGTCCCCTCACTACTCGTTGATTAACGCCCAAAAGTGATGTTCACAAGCAGTCAATTGTAGCACAAAAGGGCGGTCGTATCCACAGAGAGATAATAAAATAACAAGAATAATTAACAGAATAAGAGCGTTAGAGAAAAGTGAATTAAAGAAAAATGAGAGTTTTTGGGATTTTTGTTGTAAATAAAATAGAAATAAGGGAATTTGTATGAAGAAAATTCAATAATAAAAACGGTAAGGTGTTGAGAATTCCTAATGCTTCATTCACCAATTCAAGTTTTGATTCACAAAATAAAAGAATCGAATAAATTAAATCACCATGTTGACTCCGAAAATATTATTATTACAAGTTATCTAAAATCGACAATATATCAATATGACAATATTACAGTAAAAGACAATTATAAAATAATTTGAATAACAAAACAATGCGTGACATAATTACATAAGAAAATCGTGACTGAACTTATATAAAAATTGGCACACAATATTTTGAAAAGTAATACAAAAATATATGAGATTTAATTCATTCAGATGTTGAACTTTACAGCACAAGGAATCAAAACTCCGAATTGGGTCGCTCAACAGAAGTTCATCTCTAACCTCACCAAGAGAACTCTAGCCTAGCTTGCAAAACATTCTCACAAGTTCTAGAGAGAAAATATGACACTGACAGCAAGACGACAGAAAACTGAATATTTAAAACTTGCAAAAACCTTAGGCCAACCCCTCTATTTATAGTGTTCAGAGGTTGCCTGTCAATTAAGGAAACAAATAATAAAAATAGAAAATTACAAAAGAAAAGGAAATAAAATAAAATTACACATAAATTAGGAGAAATCATATATTTAATTTGGGGAAGAAATCTGGTAATTTACAGAGAAGGAATCTGGATTTAGGACTATCTGGACACGTGTCGAAGCTTGGTTGGAGGAAAGGAAAAGAATTGTCACGTGTCGCGCGCGGAGTGGGAGAAGCGTGATGGCGCGAAGTCAAAATGGAGGACAGCTGTCGCGCGCGGAGAGAAACTTGGGCTGGCACGCTGTCACGCGGGACCCACGCGGGAGAAGATTGGACGCGCGGTGTTGGCTGCGTGCAAGGAAACGCGCGCTCTGAGGTAACGCGTGCCAGTGACGCGCAAGGCGCGAGACGGAGCGAAAGGAAAGGCACGGATTTCTGCGCTGACACGCGGGACCCACTTCATTTGGCTTGGCTAATGGGTGGCGTGGCTCTCTCTGATTGGCTCGGCTTGTGTGGCTCGGATGGGCTAAAAATATGGCTTTCATGGCTTCTTCTTGTGTAGCTTTTTACACTGCTTTCATCTGTAAATAATTAAGCAAAAACTAGACAAATTCCAATTAAAATATTATGAATAAAAATAATGAAATTGCTTAATTAAAGCTGAAATATTTTAATATTATATAAATCAAAAGTAGTATTTATGGTGCATTTTCATGCACCAATCACAACCCCCAACCAGCTTATTGCTAGTCTCTAGCAATCCAAGCGCAAGAGAAATCATGTCACAAAGAAAATCTAAGTCTCAACTCGCTTAGTCACCTGACTATTTCAAACAAACTGTCAGTAAGAAGTCAAAAGATACTATCAAGATTATTTCAGTCATAACTCCAGAGTCGTGTGTGTGTGGTCCAAACCATAACCTTCTTACCACTGACCATAACACATGCAGCTTTGAAAAATTCACCAACTAGAAGCCTCAACTCCATTGATCTCACAGGTGTCAGAAATATTTGAGTGCAAAGGTTTTCTCTCATGGAGTTGGAAATGAAACAATCAACACTCAGTGTGAGGAATGTCAAATTTAGGACAAACAGTCAAACGAACATTGACCAAAAGATAGGTTAATCAACTACTAGAACATTCCACCATTCTTACCACTAACTAGCTTTTGAGATTTTATTCGGGTCAAACAGAAATTTACAGAAACGAATAAAGAGCCAAAAAAATGCATAGAAAAATAAACTACTCCTTTTTTTTTCTTCTTCTTCTTCTTTTTTTTTTTTTGGCAAGAGACAACCTGCAATAATGAGGTGAATGTAGAAAGGTGTTCTTTTGATAAACAGCTATATAGCATCAAATGTGATTAACATCAAACTACAGGATCTGTGAAATGTTGCTCTTACTCAGTTTTTTTTTTTTAAATAACAAATGAGGCTCTATTACATAAGATCATTCCTATCTAACCCAAAATTCATCCCTCAAGCATATGCACCAAGCATACCACTAACCATGTAATGATGTTCTAATAGTAATTTTACCAGCTCAAAAGATCAATGAAGGTTCAAAAGTCATTTTCTCAACTCACTTAACTCACCAAAAATAAAGCACTTAAACTCGGAAATTTTCTCAGCTGACATGCATTAACATCCATCTTACCACAAGGTTTAGCACGTGCAAAAAGAAACTCTGAAAGTCATTTCTTAGTAACCAAGACAGCAAAAATCGACCCAACCCAATCATTTTGAATCATACTCAAACAACTTTGCGAAAATTTTAACCCAAATATCAACATGACAAAAATCACTCTTACGCATGAATATGCTCACCACCCCCAACCAAAATCAGACAGTGTCCCCAGTGTCAAAAATTATAAAAAATAGAGAAAGAAGACACCTGGATGATGAACTTTCCACTTATGAGCACAGGCTGAGCTTCCTGATATGATTCTCCAAAAACACACACATAAAAAAATGTAAAAAGAAACGAAGAAAATAGAAAATGAAAATATGATACAGGAGATGTGAGCAAACTACTCAGGACTGGTAAACGGGATCGTCGAGAATGATCTCTTCAACCTGGTTCACCCGCTCTAAGTAATTTTTCAGACGCTGGCCATTTACTTTAAGGATTCTCCCATCAGTTGGGTATTCAACCTCGACAGCACCATTGGGAAAAACGTGTTTCGCTACGAACAAGCCAGTCCACCGCAATCTCAACTTACCAGGGTGGAGATGCAAACGGGAGTCATAGAGATGAACCCGTTGATTCGGCTCGAAATTCTTCCTCAGGATCTTCTTGTCATGAGCCGCTTTCATTTTTACCTTGATCCTGGAATTGCGCTCTTTTAGCATGTCGATCAATCGTTGTTCTTGCAATGGATCGAGTTTAGATGAGATGATGACTGGGAATGTGACTTCATCTCCCAAGAATGCATGTTTTAAGCTCTCAAGTGGTTGGGCTAGCTTGACTTTTGGAGCCTCCTCGGTGGATGATTTCGGTCTTTCTCCTTCTGTTGAGAGCTCCTAAAAACATAGTGACCCAAACTTGGTTCCTATGTCCTGTGATTCTTTGAAAATGGCAGAACTGTTAGCCACCGCACAAGGATCGAAACTCTCAGATTTAGAATTTTGGAGGAGGTTTTCCAGATCTTCAGAGTTGCTTTGCGGTAGAACCCCCTCCTCGACAAGTGTGTCGATCATAAATGTTTGGTGACACTCATCATCATCATGTGGTTGCTTTTGAATATGAAAAATATTCACCTCAAGGGTCATATTCCCAAAAAATATCTTCATGAGACCATTCCTACAATTGATAAGTGCGTTTGTTGTGGCAAGGAAAGGTCATCCTAGAATGATGGGAATGGATGACTCCATATTCACCACGGATTGTGTCTCCAAGACAAGAACGTCCACGGGGTAATAAAACTTGTCGACTTGCAACAAAACGTCTTCGAATATTCCCCGTGGTCTCTTAATGGATCTATCGGCCAGTTGCAGAACCACAGATGTGGGCTTA